CAGTCACTACGTGTTGTGTCTGTGGGCTGCTTGTGTGTTATGTTGTGTAGTGTGTGATGTGTTGTACCTCGTGCCGCCCCCCTGGTGTGTGTGTCGTGTGCTCGCCTCGTCGCCTGCTGTGATCGCCGCTTGTGTGGTAACTGTCTCTGCGTGTGTGCGCCGGTGGCGTGCGTACGTGTGTGTGCATGCGTACGTGCGTGCGTGCGTGTGCGTGTGCGCACTACAAGCATGGCTCCAGCTCGTCTGATGAGCCTATTGCTTTACAGTTCCGTGACCACCTTCCCCCCGGTTACTCGACCCGAATTTCATCCATGCGTCCAAATCGGAAAGCCGGAGCAAGAGAACTCATACGAAAAACGAGATTTGCCAAATCAAGACCTCGCCCCCAAGACGCCCAAGGACCCGTGTGACGCCCGGACCCACCCCGCTGCGCACCCTGCGTATAATAATCCTACTAACGACCGGAGCCGTAACTTATTAACTGCAGCCGGAGCAACTTCAGCGCTTTGTTTCATCTCCAGCTCTGTACGTGCAGACCAAGCCCGCTTATAAGCTCCGGACGGACGGCTGCGTGAAAGCAGCGCCGACGACGTGTGCATGCAGAGCGACGCGTTTTTTCTCGTAATGTGCTGACGACAGAACGACACGGAACGACGCGAAACAAAAAAAAATGCCAGAACGAAAACCGACCGACCCGCGATGCACGACGACCACTGACGACCTCGACATCGACGATGAGAGAACGCGACGACGTACGACAACCGACAGACGACGACGACGGACGGCACGCTCTTGCTGACGGACGACCGACGGAAAGAGCGAACGCACATTCGTGCCTCGTGACGGACGACGTCGAGCGACGACCAACGACGAAACAACCGAACCCGACCGACCCGAACAAACCCCCGACCCCGACCCGACGAGGCTAACGTACGCTCACCCACCCCCCACCGCCACCCCACGCGCCACCTCACTCCCGGACCGCCAACGACGCCAGCAGTGTTCGAATGACGAGCCCGACGAAACCCAATTCTCCCGAACCCCGACCCCTCCCCACCCGACAAAAACGCCCGAAACCCCGCGAATCACGACCCGAACCCGGCTTTACCCCGAATCCTCGAAAGGAAACCGAACCGACTTAAATACCCCCCCGCTGCCCCCCCCCACCACCCTCAAGCCCTACCTCTAACAGCCACAAAAACACACAAAACCAAACCACAGATATAAACACCGAACCGCGTCGCTACCCCAGCACTACCGCGCTTACCTAAGGGTTTTTTTTGCAAAATCTTGCAACCTGCCTCATTCAGCGCGCACCGCAATCGTACCGCCCCTGCGGCGCGATCAAGCCGCCCATCAGTCGCACTAGGCTACTCCAAATGCTGATCGAGAAGCCACCGAAGCATCAGTAGATGGACAACTATCCTCGTGTGAAATCTCTGAGACAGCCCGAGACTACAGACGATGGGCACTCGGGCGCTCTATAGCAAACAACGGTGGCGCGATGTCTAAAAAATGCCGTTTGGATAGTCCGCGGTTCGCGTTCCATTCTTCCTGATCCACAGTAAAAAGCCGACCGTAGTAATGGGTTGTTCCTAACAAAATCCATCGGCAGCTACTGCGGAGGAACTGCGGTTCGCCGCAGATTACGCGCCAACATCGTCTAAGCCAGCACCACAGCAAACTCACGCATTTCCAATCCGCACATCCGTCTCAGCACTTGAAATTTTTATAGGCGCGGAGATTATATACGGACGTAGGAGATAGGACCGGTCGTCGACTGGCGGTTGAAACGGCGGCCACCGCAACGCCCATGCCCGGTCGACGCGCGGCTCAACCACCGATGAATTACAGACGACCCTACCCAAATAGAATTGAGGAACCCCCGCCGGAGAATCTCAGAGACGATGGACAATCGTCCAGCGTTAGCTATAGCCACATCGAATAAATTAAGTGCGAATCGACTGATTGCAAATCGAATTGAACCGCTGCGTCTACGGATCGGCCCCTGGAATTCACCAGCAACTATTAACCAGGGCTAAGTCGTTATCCTGTCTGTTATACAACGCTTGCTTCCCCTGCCTGTCCTCCCTGTGCGTTAGTGATGTGCCATAATAGTCAGTCGTCTGGATGGGGTGATATATAAGAATTACGATCAGTTGGACTAATGCACTATTGGCTTACGACGCTGGCTACAGTTGGACTAGCTTCTTCTTTCAGTAAATAGTTAAACATTGACGGATGAAGCGTGGTGAGTAGTATCCTGATACTATAGTCTTTGCAGCTCCGCTACGTGACAGTAGCTCCGTTCACTGATTGCGCCTCATTGACCTTAACGGTACGCCAGCGCCGACCTCGCCAGTGGCTGAGAGCGACCACCAATTAATGCGACATTTTGGATGTCAACCAACAAGCTTACTCCGTGCATTTGATACAGGTAAACATCGGTTATATCTTGGCCAAATGTCTCAATCGCGGACCCCTTTCAGACCGCCATGTAGTTTCGCCTTCTAGCCGACCCTCCCGTCGAGTACAGCATGTTGTCGCCCACTGCAGTATTCTACCCGAAGAGATGACACAAGCACTATTCTCTGCCAGCAGAAAATCGTGAGATAGTTGTGTGTGTACTGTTTATTTCTGCCACAAAACAAGGCGGCAAGAATTATTCACTCTTCTGATCATCAATCGAAGCCCTCTCAGCATTAACCCAACGCAGCGTACACATGCTGCCCAAATAGGAAAACCATGCGTGTCGTTTCAGCAGAAATAAAATGAAAGAAGGTTTACCTACTTATTCCTTCTCAGCGATAGCTTCTCTACCGGAATATTAACTGGCAGGAGCTCATAGCCTTCTATCCATATATAAGGACTCAACCGCGCTTGTCTCTACGATCGCTTTCCTATGTGCGCAGATACTTAAGCGATAAAATCGCAATGTACTTCTAGTGTCCGATCCGGTAGCGCCATATCACGCAGGAGCGTATCAATGACAAACTATATCTTGTACACTTATACGCGCTCCCTGATACTCACACCAAACTATGAGCTGCGTCTCAACACGATACCGTCTAAAACGCGATGGTTTCGAAACGGCGCTAGTATTTTACGATACTCGGACAGCGTCCACGCGATATAGGTGACCTTGTGAGTTAAACAGCGCTTCACACAGAATAGCTTTTCGCGAGAAATGCACGTACCGTCCGTCTATAGGGCGTGGCGCCATAGGGCGATATAAAGAAATCATAGATTTACGCAAATTGCGAGTTATAGGCTTACACACACACACACACACACACACACACACACACACACACACACACACACACACACACACACACACACACACACACACACATACACACGAGCGCGAACGTACGGTCACATGCCCACACACCTAATAAATTCGTACGCGTGCGCATGCGTATGGAATCCCCGTGTACCTTCACCATCGCGCTAGTATGAATGCCCCTTCTCCCTTTCTCAACACTCTCGTCACAATATTGCATGGTGCGAGGTTAGGTATGTGGTATAAGGTACATTGACATCTACAGTCAATTGACATCTACAGTAATAAAAATACTCTGACTGGCGGAGTCTATATATATAGCGAGTGTAGGCCTACTCGCACAAACACGTGTGTGTTCATGTGTGTGTGCGTGCGTGCGTGCGTGCGCGCGGGCGCGCGCCTGCGTCCGTACGTCCGTACGTGTTTGCGTGTGGGCGTGTGTGTGTCACACGCGCGCGCTTCAAACGATACACGAACGATTACATTATATACGATTACTTCCAGCATCGAGGCATGAACGGCAACAGCAGCAGCAACAGCAGCAGGGATCAGGCGCTGGTACCGGCCAGCGGCAGCGAGTTGCAAACCTATACCGAGTCGCCGAGGGCACGGCACCACGATCCGCGTAGATTCGAGTATGCCCAGCCACTAGCCGGTCTTACTGAAACTAACTTCTTCCTCGCTAACGGCAATGTGAAAAGCGGCGGCCCCGGCCACACACAGTAGGTACGAGCCACGAAGCTCCCTAGTACTCTCTCTCTCTCTCTCTCTCTCTCTCTCTCTCTCTCTCTTCTCGTTCATAGACTGCCTCTTGCCTGCCTGCCTGAGACTAGAACAAACAACGGTCCAAAGTGCTGGACAAGTAGCTGTTTTGGGTACATGTACGTAATGGCGTTGGCGTAATGGCGTAGGTTGCGTGTTTCTAGTTGAACTGACGAACGGGAGATCGAGGAAAGTTTACTGGTAGTGGTGGAACGAGTACCAGTTGGGGAGGCAGAATATAGATAGCTGTTTTGGGTGGATGCGCGTGTATTTCTGGTTGAAGGGACGAATAGCCTATTGCGGAGATCGAGGAAAGTTTGCTGGCGGTAGAGGAAACTGTACCGGTTTAGGAGGAAGAATTTAGGTGGCTAGAAAGGCGACTTGTTGTTTGAAGGCACGTGTAGCTTCTTGGGAAGGGGTTAAGCTATCAGGGAGAAAATCCCGTATAGGTATTTCAATGGATTAACGGCAGGTTTTTGAAGCGATTCGCATGGAAAGTGTAGATGATTGTGGAAGCAAGTTGTATTTGAAGGGACGCTGTTTGAAGGTCTTACAAATTATCGGACGGTCAATTACCTATTGGAAGAGAGGTATATCCATTGAGAGGGACCTGTACGCATTTGACGTAGCTGTTCGGTTCGGTCATTCAGCGCTTCAGAGAGACAAAATATTCAGTATCGGGGTTTGTGTAGGTGTATCGACGTTATCGCTTTTAGAGGTGAGTAGATTTCATGAGCGAAAATGGCTGTTTTTGAGCGCGGAGTGTATAGAATAAACGTGGATGAATAAATAGCCGGATAAACAGATTAGTAGCTATTTAATCTGACAGAGCTGTTAGACGGATATCTGCTTAGGCACTTGTGGCTGTGTAATGGGGATGCGTTAGTGTAGAGGTGCAGAGGCGCGCACGTAGCTATTGGGGCAAACAAAATTTGTTTGTAATATATTTTTTTGATATTTAATATCAAAGGGAAGAAAGAGTATCTATTTTAGCAATGAGCAGCTCTTTGGACCCGTAGCGGTTTATGTTAGTATCCAATTTTAATGCGATATGTATATATATATATATATATATATATACATATATATATATATATAATATTATATACATGCATACATATGTAGGTTAGGCTTGCACCTAAGACTAAACAACAACTTCTTCTTCTACCTACTCATGTCATTACTAACATCATGGCAGTCTTGCGACAGTACAGTAGTCTGCCTCTTAGGAATGGACACTCGCTCGCTCGTGTGTCTAATTCGTCTGCGTGACTGGCATGACGGTAATTCTCCATCAGTGGCATCTCTCCGTAAATTTAGCACACACAAAATATAGCGAAGACCCTTCCCGCGGAGGATTCCCGCAGCGTAAAGTGGTTGCCGTGTCCTCGCCCTCGTTTTTTCTCTCACGCGCGCGTCTGTGCATGAGCGCAGTCTGACCACGTTCTCTTCTCTTCTTTTCCTCCCCATGCAGGCTGTGACGTCACCGGAAGAAATGCGGATGATCCCGCCGACGTACGGGTCGCCGCTCGTCGCCAACTGGCAACCGGAAGTGACGTGCATTCCCAACGCGCTTCCGGTTAACTCGCTTCGAGACGCGACGAAGTCGGAATTCGAAAACGGTGCGACGTCGTCGCCGGACGCGCATACGCGGTCGCGGACGGAGGTCGACGGACCGTGCGCGCGAGCGACGACGACGACGACGACGACGACGACGCGACCGCTATCGACGCCTCCTGACTCCTCTTCCCCACCGCCGCCGACGACGACGACGACGGCAACGACGAAGACGGCGTCGGTCGTCGCCGCCGACAAACCCAAGCCGCTGCCTCGCTCGACGTCGCTCAAGTGGTCGGAGAAGGTGTTGACGGGATTGCCGTCGACGCAGCGACAGAGCCTCGATCTGGACGACGCGAAGATGCCGCCGCCGATGCCGTGGCCGCGGACTAGCTCTCTCGAGCAAATATGCGTCGCCGACCGAGCTGGCGTTGGCGTCGACTCGTATCAGCAGCAGGTGGCGCCGCGATCGGGGACGTGCGGCGTCGGCGAAGGTCGGTCGGTCGGCGAGAAATCGCCGGTGCGGTCGGCGTATATAGTGGCGCCACCTCGCGGCCGGTCGCCGAGCGGGCGCGCGCTGGACAGCGAACGCGCGTCGCCCGGTCGTCGGACGGGCGACAGGCGGAAATCCGCGGCCGCCAGTCGCAGCATAGACATCCCGATCCTGGAAGAGGAGCCGAAACGTCGGCGACCGTACGCGAGCAGTCACAGCGTCGACGTGGCGTCGTCTGGCGGACACTCGCCCAGCGTTCTCTCGCCCGTGCTCGAACCGAACATCGTCGTCATACCCGGTGCGAGCAGGGCGCCACTGTCGCGAGACGACGTCGCGGCGGCGAGATACGCTGTGGCCGGTAGTCGGCAACCCCCTAACTCCGTCAGCAGTCACCTCTATCGGCAGGTCGCTCCTAACCCCGTGATGACGAACTCCGTGGACGTTCCTTCAGCTGTGAACCGACGCATCTTGAACAACGCGAGAGCGGACAGTACCGACAGCAGAGATTCGTCGTCGACGTCGGGTCAACCTGCGGTCGCTGCGGCCGCCGGTGGCAGCAAGCGCGAAGCGGCCGGTCTCATCGCTGCCGAGCTACGGCGTCGCTTCAACGCCGACGACGTCGCTCCGTCGCTCAAGCAGAAGCCGCTCGTGCGCAGCGACGCGTTGGATGTTCTCGGATCCGACAGCTCGGATTGTCGGCAGCCGACGACGCAGCGTCACGGTCGGCTGCCGACGTGGAATGCCGACGCGACGGCGCCGTCCAGTCGGGTCGAGTCGACGTCGTCAGGGTCATTCTCTACCTCGCCGCCGCCTCCGCCACCGAGAGATTACTAAGCATGGCAATTACACCCCCTCCCCTCTTTTTACGTTTTACGCTGTGCCATCTTTTTTTATCGATCAGGTTTGATGAGTAATAACATCAGGGGTGAATAATGACAAATAGTTTTTATTTTTTATATTGACATTTTTGTCATTATTCAACCCCTGATAACATGTATTCGGGGCGAGCGGCCATTTTCGAGCGATTCACGTCGAGTAGAGATCTACTACGGCGAGTTCTCCAGTTCCAGTTCCAGTTCCAGTTCTTTTGACTTTCTCGGTTATCGCAATGCTAGCATACAGTCCCATACACCTGGCTAATTCGCACACGCCCGTGCAGTGTTTGTTTCACGAATGCGCATCGCGCTATCTTCTTTTTTTCGCTCTACTACCACCCATCGTTTTTCGATTTGTCTCTGCTTTCTTTTACTTGCTTCTTCCTTGTCTTTACTTGTCTTTACTTGTCTTTACTTTACTTGTCTCTGCTTTCTTTTACTTTATACTTGCCACTCATCGCTTCGATTTGTCTGGAATCCGCGCTCTCGAGTAGGTCCTTGTTGTCATGTAAAGACGAAGCAAATTGGCGACAGCGTAACGATCTTCACTGTAATCACGACCTAGTTCAACGTTTAGCTGGCCTTTATACTGACAGAGAGCCCGCGGTCGCTTGAAACCCCGAGTTCAACAGTTAGCTGGGGGCCGTTGTCAGAAACATCGTAAAGTTAATGCTAATGTTAAGACCAATTTTGTTTCTGACAAGGAGCCCCTGGATGCTGTTACACGGACAGAGAGCCCGCGGTCGGCTTAGAGTAAAGCCTGAAGCCGAAAAGAATTACCGACAATTCACCGCGGTTGACGTATTATTATTTTTTTTTACTCAGCTAGCGCGTGGGAAGTCACCTTCGTGGAATGTGGCTTGCCGGTTAATTAGTTATCGCGTCAGTGCATATCTAAGGTTGAGGCGGTACTACATGCGACTATTAAATTGACTACGTCACGAATTTTCTATGTTGTATATTGTAAAAATTTTGTTGCCATTTATTTACATTAAAAGTACATACTAACGGGACTAAATGTATCGTCAAATTCTTACCTGATAAGATTGTTTCACAACCAGTTAAAAATCCAAAAAACCTTGACGATGTGATATTATGATCCTGATATTAATTGCTTGCTATGGGCTATGTATGAGTCACGAGTGTATGTTTACATCGAACAATAATTATAGCAAAATAGGAAGTATAATTACAATGCAACATTTTAACCATAAAAAGTGAACAGAATTATTTACATTTTGTGAAAAAGTGGAATTTTTTTTACTTTTACTATTTATGGTCACGTAATCACTTTAATGGCTGAGATGGTTTTTAGTCCGCGGGTGATGTCGGTCGAAAGGAAGGACTCGAGACGACGAGAAATTAATTATGACTGCATTTAATCGTCGGGAAAAATGTCGGCGAGATTCTCTCGCAATTTCTCGACAACAATTGTTAGTGATTTGAGTGGTTTTAGTGTAAATAGTAAAAAAAGCTTTGGAAGTGCTTGTTATTTTGATTACAAGACATTGTTATCAAAGAGCACTACTCGCTCGGAGGAAAGCGGATTTCTAATATAGTGTAATCATACACCCGTGTATATAAGTCCTGCTCACTAATAAATTTAATGCTATTAACATAATAAGCCAGTACAGGAGGGAAATTGCAATTTCTGTAATGCACTGTAGATCTACACAGAGACACGCGTTTATAGGACATACTATTGTTGTTGTTGTTGTTGTTTTTAACTGCTGATTTTAATGATCAGCATCTTTAATATTTAGTGTTCACATATTTTGGTATGCATTGCGCGGAGATTAGTTTTAAGAAGGACTTACATGCGTAATTAAATTAAACATTTTATGTACAAATTCTGCTAATCACGAGGTCTCACCATAATCTATGCATATTGTGTTAAACTATTACGGTACATATAGGTAGGAAAGTTTTTTCTCTAGGTTATTATTTGTAGCTCTCTAACTATATCTATAGGATTTGACTACTAAAACTACACGCACTACACCTACATATAATACGCTTGTTATGTCATCGTACGATAAAACTTGAACGAACTGTTGTTTTTTGGTATTAAAATAATATCTATTCGATTGAGTTTGAATTCTTATTTGAATATTTAATCCGACTCAAACGAGCAACCAAATAGGGTGTAAACCAGAGTGATACCTACGTTTCTGGGTCCCTATTCCTCTCAATATTCACGCACGGCATCGGTACTCAAATATTGTCGACAAGTCTAATTTATCACCCCGAATTAGTTTGGCACATAATATTATGCGAAAACAAATTTACGAGGTCCAAACTATCCTTGATCCATATTGTCTACTCCATGAATAATCTGATATCTATCTTGCAACTGGGACGTGCGGATGTGACACACATGCACTCTAATAAAAATCACAATAAAATATCGAACACGGTCGTGTGTGTTTTCAACCCTTTAAGCGGTGTCATGTATATGACACTCTCACCGTCACATCTGTCGGTCGAACGTTAATTGCTGTCGCATTGGGGAATAAAAGCGCTGAAGTTTGCAACCGGAAATTACCGATTCGGAACTGCTATATGAACACTACCCGTGGGGGATGGCGTAGAATAAAACGTGTATATAACCATCATCACGTTTATTCTCATACTGCTGCCAATCGGCAAATATGTATACAGATATATATTTAAAAAAAATACAGTTTGACTATTCCCAGATAATTACTTATACAACTTATTAGATTTACTCATATAATTTGTCAGTACACTCTTTTTCTAAGCTGTTTTAACCAAGTTACATTATATATATATACTATAGATAGATACACACGCACAAATACACGCACGCACGCACACACGCATGCACGCACGTACAAATACACGCACGCACGCACACACGCGCACGCAGGCGTACGTTTGTATGTGTGTGTGTGTGTGCTTGTGTGCGTGTGGGCGTGCATGCGTGTGTGCGTGCGTGCGTGTATTTGTGCGTGCGTATCTATCTATCTCGGGACGACGCGCCATGTTTTCAGATGAAGCTATATTTAGTTGCAACTCCTCTGTAAACAGCCTGGAGGTGACATAACACAATAATGTCAACAACTGCCCGCGATATAAGTGACAGCTGCATTGGCACGTCAAAATAATCTACAGGCGGTGACACATATGACATTCTGTCTGTCCCCGCAATGGTCAGGATGACTATGCAGGTCGATGCTCGATGATGGTCTATGATAGTCTACGATCTACGATCTAAAAGCTATGATCTACGATCTACGATCCATGGTCTATGATGGTCTACGTTCTATAGTCTATGATGGCCTACGATCTACGATTTATGGTCTATGACCTACAACCTACGATCTACGATCTAAGATCTAAGATCTATGATCTATGATCTAAGATCTAAGATCTAAGATCTACGATCTATGATCTAAGATCCACGATCTACGATCTATGATCTAAGATCTACGATCTACGATCAACGATTTATGTTCTATGACCTACAATCTAAGATCTATGATTTAAGATCTATGATCTACGATTTATGGTCTATGACCTACGATCTACGATATATGATCTAAGATCTACGATATATGATCTATGATCTAAGATCTAAGATCTAAGATCTATGATCTATGATCTAAGATCT